GTTAGGTAGGCTTGGATTAAGAATGTGTATAGGGGGCCATGTGCATTAAATAAACAAGCAGAGAGAGACAGGGTGGGAAAGTCTTCAGGAGAATGGGGTAAAGTCAAAGAAAGACGCAGAGGTAAGATATTGAAGGCAGTGAGAGAGGAGCCAGCACATGGGTAACTCTGTTCCTGACTATTTATAGCAGTGTAAGAATGGAGTAATACAATTGATTTAGAAACTCTGTTCACTTAACATTTTAATTCATTCAGTTCTATGTGCCCAACACTATAGCAGATGCTGGGGATGGTGCCTGCCAATTTAAAAAAGCCCATAATCTAGCAAAGGGAGCAAACAATTTCAATTTGGTATAATATACACTCTAAGAGTGTAAGTGGAAAGTGCTAAGTGTGCAAAGTGCTAAGCATTCCTAGAAGACAGAGCAACTAACAGGGGCAAGGGAGGCTTCACAGTATAGGCGACATTGGATATTAAAAAATAAGAAGGACTTTGGGAGGCCAAGGTGGGTGGATCACGAGCTCAACCTGATCAAGACCATCCTGGCCAAACTGGTGAAACCCCATCTCTACCAAAAATACAAAAATTAGCTGGGTGTTGTGGCATGTGCCTGTAGTCCCAGCTACTTGGGAGGCCGAGGCAGGAGAATTGCTTGAACGCGGGAGGTGGAGGTTGCAGTGAGCCGAGATCACGCCACTGCACTCCAGCCTGGCAACAAAGTGAGACTCTGTCTCAAAAAAAAAATAAAACAAATAAATAAAAAACAAGGAGGAGATTTCTAGAGAGTTGAGGGGGGTAGAATATTGCAGGTATTGGGAATACCATATGAAAAAGAGCATGACGTATGTAGGGAATGGGGAGTAGCTCTATGTAGTTGAAGTGGATAGTTCATTGCAGTGGGAGAAAATTCGGTAGATGATACTAGAAAAATAACATATGCCACATTAAGGAATAGAGTGGGCCTGTCTGAGTTGCCTGCCCAGCCCACACTGTCTTCTCTGAGAACATTCTTCCCTACAGCTTCCGCTGAAGATGTGGGCCTCCACCGCTGTCACGTTTTGTCCATATAACCTCACCCCTTCATGGTCACAGCCAATTGAGCATTTGACCCAAGAGCTAAGCCAATCAGATTTTCTTTCTCAATAATTTGTTCTGAGAGATATGATGGTTAGGTAGGCTTGGATTAAGAATGTGTATAGGGGGCCATGTGCATTAAATAAACAAGCAGAGAGAGACAGGGTGGGAAAGTCTTCAGGAGAATGAGGTAAAGTCAAAGAAAGACGCAGAGGTAAGATATTGAAGGCAGTGAGAGAGGAGCCAGCACATGGGGAACTCTGTTCCTGACAACTCCCCTGCTGCCTGGCTGTACTTCTTGCTTCATAAGAGTCCCCTATTTCCTGATAATAAACCTTCTTTTTCTTAAAATGAGATGGAGTACTTTTTTTTTCCAAAGGGTTTAGATTTTTATCTTGGCAGAAATGAGCCAGTGGAAGCGTGTAAGGCAAAGGAATAACCAATTTGCATTTCAGAAGATCTCTGGTTGCAGAAGAGGGTCAGGGCAGCAGATGAAAGGCTCTGCATTGGCCTGGGCAACAGAGGGGGACAGTCTAAACTCAGGTAGCAGCATAGATGTGAGGAAGGGGTGACTCTGAGAGATACTTGGGGGGTAGAATTGATAGGACTTAATGTTTTGGGTTGTATGAAGTCGAGGTCGGAAGGAGTTAAGGACAGTCCTCCATTTTCAGCTTGATGAATTGAAATAATTGAAAAGCTGTTAACAAAGAAAGTGAAGACAGAATCACATTTTGGAAGAAAGATATTAAACTCAGTTGAAGACACATGTTATGTTTGAGGAGCCTATGGCAATATCCAGTAGGCACTGACACTTTATACCTGCAGGTTAAAAGGGGGTTAGAATAAAGATGAATATAGGTGGTATTCCTTTGACTACATTAGATTTTGGAAAGAATTTAACATGAGAAGGAAGAAAAGAAAAGAGACAACAGAAACATTAACATTGACGAGCCAGAGCACAGACACCAGCCAGCCAAGGAACCTGAGGAGCAATGGCCAGAGGAGTAGAAGGAGGCAGGAGAGAGCGAATGCAGGCAGTAAGGGAGGAGAGTTTTAAGCAGGAGAAAATAGCCATACAGGGCAAATTGTGCAATAAAGTTAAGTAAGATGACAGCTGAAAGTTCATAGTATTTGATATTTGATCCATTGTTGTCTTTAAAGAGAGTAGTTCCATCAAAAGGGAGATGGCAGAAATAAGATGAGGTCATCTTGGGTGAGAAGTGACTGGTTGGTAAGGAAGTAGCCAAGGCTAGTGATAATGACCCTTTCTGCAAGTTTGGATGTGAAGGAAAGGAGACACCTAGGCTGAAGCTTAAGGATGAAGAGAGATATTGTAGGATTATTACAAAACTGACCCTAATTCTCCATCCCTCTCTGAATCCACATCCTTTGTGATGTGACTTTGCAGCTCCTCCCATCAAAAGGTAGAGCCTATTTCCTTGCCCCTTGGTTGGACTTGTGAATTGTTTTTGTCAATACAATGAGGAAGAATTGGTGTTGTGCCAATTCAAGAGGTCTTGTATTTCTGCTTTCTCTCTCTCTCTCTTTCTCTCTCTGCCTCTTGAAATCCTGCCCAGCAACCATGAGAACAAGCCTGAGCTAAACTGCTGGATGATAAGCGATCAGTGTCCCAGTCACCGACTTCACCATAACTAATAACCTGCTTAATTGTCAGGCATGCGAGTGAGCTCACCCTTGACCAGCCTGCCCTAGCTGACCCTTCCAGCTGACTGCACCCTCTTGAGGGTGTGTAGGCACTGTTTCAGGCCCAGTTGAAGTCAATAGAGACCAATTGAGCCTGGCCCAGATGACTTATCAATTTGTGAATAAAGTTCTTTCTGTTTGAAACCACTGTTTTGGGGTGTTTTGCTTTTACATCAGTAGGTTACTGATTGAAGAGATTGTTGGAAGATTTTTATAATTTTGCATTAGCATGGAGGAGATTTGAACATGTTTGCACATATGGGGAAAAGATAGATTTAAGATTCAAGAAAGAGGGGTAAGTGATGGGAGAAAGAGATGAGACCAAAAGCTCAGATGGAAGATTAGCCTGGGAAAAGACAGAGTGCCTCTTTTGCTTTCAAGATAAGAGAACAAAGTAGGGATGGGAGCAGACATCCTGGACTGAAATTCAGCTCATCACTAGGGCTGTGGCTCTCAACTGTGAACATGGTGGTGGTTTCTCTAGCTGTATCTTGGGACATGCTCACATGTAACATCCAACCAAAAATTTACGCTCCAAACTCATGCATTTCCACGTCTGTCAAAGCTAAAAGGGGCATCTGAGACAGATTTCCTTTTGTTTTCACTGGTGTGTCAAATGCCACAGTGACAGCAAAGGAATAATCTTCAGTTTGTGTATAATGAGGTCTGAAATTTCCGTCTCCACATATTGATCATGAATCTTATTTCACTAGATAAACTGACAGCAGAGTCTCAGGTACTTAAACAAAATTTTGAAAAAAAATCAACATTGCCACCCACATCTATGGCTTTTTTTTTTTTTTTCCTACTGTCACTTTCATGTTTCAGTTATTTTGTCTATATGCACTCATTTCCAGTTTTTTCTGGATTCCTCAATAATCACATCTTTCCTCAATCCTACATATACGCTCCTACATCCTTAAAAATACGATTTAATGGAAAGACAACTGGTTTGGCAGGCAGAAAAACTGAGTTCTAGTCTTAACTCTGCTGTTAACTGGCAAAATTATCTAGGCCAAGTCACTTAACCTCAGTTTTCTTATCTGAAAAATTTATTCCTCCAATAGGTATTTATTGAGCAGGCATTATGTGCCAGACACTATTTGAAGGGCTTAGGATATATCAGTGAAAAAAACAAGGCCTCTGCCCTCAGGGAGCTTACATTCTAGAGGAATCAGACCATGAAAAACATATGCAAAAAACAGGATAATTATATTACATAACTGCAGGTGCAAAGTGTTATGAAAAAATTAAAAATAAAGTGGGAGTTGGGACAGGTTGCAGGTCAGGAGAGACCTCTGAGGAGGTGACTAGAAGGAGGGGAAAGGGTTACCATGAGGGTGTCTGGAGGAAGAATGTTCCAGAAAAAATTCCTGACAGTGTTTCTTCAGTATTTTTTCCCCTTTAGACTCCATTTATGCTTGTTTACCTCAGTGAAGATTTACAATATGTACGACCATTAGGCCAATCTTGTATACTATTCCATACATTTCTTTGAATAGCCAACAAATGACCAACTATCCCCTCTAGAGCAAGACCCATGGGTCCTAGGTACAAGAGCCTGTTGCCTTGTATTTACTTTCAGGGACTTCTGTACGGCATTTTCCACTGGAAAGGTCAGGTTTATATTATGTCAAACATCACATGAGGATTGCCTATGCACCTTTCCACCTTGCACAGGGTAGCTAAAGCAGGCAAATATATTTTTAAAAAGACACAGCTCTTGAGAAAGTCACTACTATTTCTGCAAACGTCTAATGTGCCAGATGCTTTACATTCTTTATCTCCCCTGATCATCACAACACGCCTGCCTCCCTCTAATGCTAATGAGGTTAGCAGTTTTCTAACTTTACAGATGAGAACATGGAAGTTCAGAGAGTTTCAGAAACTTACCTGTAGTCACATAGCTAGTAAGTTTCAAAGCCGGGATTTGATTCCCAAGTGTGCGTTCTTTCCACTATCCCACACTGCTTCTTTTGTTTTTGAAGACTCTTTGATTTAGCTGGGAAACCAGATGCATACGTATATGAGACAATCAGAGAGTCATTTTAAGGCAAGTAGCACAGTGGTTAGGAGCTTGGGCTCTGCAATCAGGCAGCCGGGGATCAAATTCCAACTCTGCTACAACACTGTGTGATCATAGGTAAGCTCCTTAACTTTTCTGAGCCTCTATTTCTTTATTTATAAATATGGATCATATGAGGATACATCTGATAAAGTTGTTGGGAGGATTCAATGAAATAATACATGTAAAGTGCTTAGCATGGCATCTCTTATATAATTGCTCATATCCTTTGCCCATACATGAAAAAAAGCTCATCATCACAGTCCATCAGAGAAATGCAAATCAAAACCACAATGAGATACCATCTCACACCAGTTAGAATGGCGATCACTAAAAAGTCAGGAAACAACAGGTGCTGGAGAGGATGTGGAGAAATAGAAACACTTTTACACTGTTGGTGGGACTGTAAACTAGTTCAACCATTGTGGAAGACAGTGTGGCGATTCCTCAAGGATCTAGAACTAGAAATACCATTTGACCCAGCCATCCCATTACTGGGTATATACCCAAAGGATTATAAATCATGCTGCTATAAAGACACATGCACACATATGTTTATTGTGGCACTATTCACAATAGCAAAGACTTGGAACCAACCCAAATGTCCATCAATGATAGACTGGATTAAGAAAATGTGGCACATAGACACCATGGAATACTATGCAGCCACCAAAAAGGATGAGTTCATGTCCTTTGCAGGGACAAGGATGAAGCTGGAAACCATCATTCTGAGCAAACTATTGCAAGGACAAAAAACCAAACACCGCATGTTCTCACTCATAGGTGGGAATTGAACAGTGAGATCACTTGGACACAGGAAGGGGAACATCACACACCGGGGCCTGTCATGCGGTTGGGGGAGGGGGGAGGGATAACATTAGGAGATATACCTAATGTAAATGACGAGTCATTGGGTGCAGCACACCAACATGGCACATGTATACATATGTAACAAACCTGCAGGTTGTGCATATGTATCCTATAATTTAAAGTAAAATAAAAAAATAATAATAATTACTAATATATGTTAACAGTTATTCTCATATATTGTTGATACATTTTTAAAAAGTATATATACGTATAACGATATCTCTGGAAGGTTCAGAAGGAGACAAAAGGAACTGGTCACAGAGTGCCTGTGAGCTGGGAGCTAGGGAGCTGGGACAAGAGCACAAATTACTTTTCACTTTGATTATTTGTATACCCTGTGTACATTTAAATGTTGGGCCACCTGATATTACTTATTTAAATTAACAATTATAAAATGTTTAAGAAGTGCTGTTGTTATTATCATTGGAAGGAATTTGGAATAAAGAAGCTATTAGTTGGATAGACTCATTTGGAGATTTCTTGAAGGTGATGAATTGGACAGGAAGCAGGTAGAGAATTTTGATGACAGAATAAAGACCTGTGAGGTGTTTTCAGTGGAAGGTTCTAGCAAAGTAGAGCATAAAGGTGGAAATGACTAGTTGGGGTCCATCCGATTGTTTGGTGTTGTGGAGACAATGAATCCAGCCAATAGATGAGAGTGAGGGTGCTTTCCAAATACCTGTAGTAGAAAAGAGAGGATGTAAGTGAGAAATTGGCAGAAACACTCCACCTCAAATACAAAAATTGAGAAAGAACAGTTCTGGAAAAAGATTGCCAGTTGAGGCCAATTCTATGAGCCCTGCTGCCTGAATTATTCTGGTTCATCAATCCAAATTGAGCTGGAGGAACCTTTGACATCCCCCTCTCTCTGCCCGCAGGTCGGCTGCCTCCAATCCTGAGGTCATCACTCATCAAGAGGGGATAATCCCAGGGACAGCAGGATCTGCTTCGTTACTTGGATTTAGGAGCCAGAAACCCATCAGGCAACTAAATAGTAACAATGACCCACCATTAAACACACTGAGAGAAGAGCACGATGAGGAGTTTGTACAAGAAGAAGCCAGGAGCACTTGCTGACAATGCCTACAGAGACGCAGGCTTCTGTGAGCGCTGCCTGTTGAACTGCAGTAAAAATAGATCCCCTTCCCCAGAGATGCTTGGATGTGGGCACGATATCAGTTCAGACAACGGTCAATGCATGGACTTAATAGAGTGAAAAGACTTTGGACTGTGAAGTCAGAGAACCTGGGTCTGAACTATTATTCTTCTACATCTTTGTAGTATGCTTTCACCACATTGAAAATTGTCTGAGCCTCAATTCTTTTATCTGCAAAATGGAGCTAATACCTACACAGGGGCTTTTAAGAGAATAAAATGCAACAGTGTTTGAAAAAGCAATATACTTCCCTTTATGGAAAAAGAGCCTGTAAAGGAACCAATACAATGGCCGGGTGTGGTGACGCACATCTGTAATCCCAGCACTTTGAGAGGCCGAGGCGGGTGGATTGCCTGAGCTCAGGAGTTTGAGACCAGCCTGGGCAACATGGTGAAACCCCGACTCTACTAAAATACAAAAGATTAGCCAGGTGTGGTGGTGTGCACCTGTAATCCCAGCTACTTGGGAGGCTGAGGCAGGAGAATTGCTGGAACCTGGGAGGCAGAGGTTGCAGTGAGCCAAGATCGCACCACTGTACTCCAGCCTGGGTGACAAGAGACTCTGTCTCAAACATAAATAAATGAATAAATACATAAATACAAAATAAATACAATAAAGGAACCAATGCACCAAAGGCTGCTCTCAACATTTTCCCTGCTCCTAGGCACTCAATATCAGAACATAGACTTCTTTCTTTTGCTCAGATACCAGGGATAAGAAATGAGAGAGAGAGAAATGCGGAAAGGCAGGAAACCAGATTCTGGCTATCAGAGGAAAAAAATCACTCTAAATAATTTTCAGACAATGTTGCTCTCCTTTCTCAAACACTGGGGCCACAGGCATTATGCCAAAGGAGATAGCAGCCTGGCAGATATTTTAAACTGATTCTGAAACTGAACGACAGGCCATTTGCACCATATGCCACTGACACGTTAATCTAGGAAAGGATGCTAGGCACCTGGGGAAATCCATGCTGAAATGCCATTTAGGCAGGACATACCAATTCCAGTGGCAGAGGTTCATCAAAATACAGGCAGGGTGGCCAAGAAGATAGAAGTGGAAAGCAGGAGTGAAGGGCACAGGCAGTGTCCAAGGCACAAAAGGTGTTCCGAGTTGCAGACACTTCTTTGTGCTTCTAGGAGAGCTGCAGATTCAGCAAGACATTAAAACTGGGTATTTGCAGTCTGGACAAACGAGTATCTGCTACTTTTGCATCAGTTATTCTACATGGCCTCCAACCCTGTGACCCTTCTATCCATTGGCAAATACTGGGCAATGCTCCAGTTCACCAAAATGGCCTCCTTTAATCCTGCAGTTTCATTGTAAAAAGCCCAAGCAAGCGGCTGCCGAGTGACTCTAGTAGTTGCTCCAGTGTCAGACTTTCCAGGATCCAATTTGGTGGGAGCACTCTGGGCCTTTGGTCTCCCTCTACCCTTTGCCAGGCGCTGTTTCTTGGTTACTCTGAGCAGTAATGAGCTTCTCCACCCCAGCATGAGGACAGGCTCACAGCCAGCACATGAAAAGGGCTGTGCTCATGTGTGGCAAACTACTCTATTTCATGGGCAGCTCACACGTCTGTCTTTTCTTTTTTCCCCTTCTTCTGTGATGCAACTATAGTAATGATTTTTTAAAGTAGGAATAAGGCAGAACTATGGCTTTCTGGGGTAAAAAAAAAAAAAAAAGTCACACAGCAGTAAAATTGCAGCAGATATCATCAAAGAAGCTCAGAATAAAATGCCCACCCATTCTTGTCATTGGCTCAAATGATTTTCCAGGAGCAAAAGGATCATTCTGACAGGCATCTTAATAAACAAATAGAATCATTACCTTTGTTATTTCCCTCCAGGCAAATGAGGCTTAAAAAATCAGCACTTCCTGTTAATGTTAGTTATTTTTCATCGTCAGAGGAATCTGAAAGATCACAAAAATAAGATTAGGCCACCAAAGAATGTGGATGAATAATTCAGAGTTGTCGTTAAGCGTGGGCTCTGGAATCAGCTTTTGGTTCAGATCCAGAGCTCTGTCCCTTACCCTCTGATGACCATTGGCAGTTTACTCAACCTCTACCCCCAGTCTCTGTTTCTTCATACAGAAACTTGTATGAATAACTTATACAGAATAACGCCACCTGTACCTTGTAAAGAGTAACTTCACCTGCCAAGGTTGTTAAGAGAATTAAAAGAGAAGGTATGTGTGTAGCAAGGAGCACATTTCCTAGCACATGGTCTGGGTACCTATGTTAAAATGATAGGCCTGATCTTGGAAACCACATGTCACTTATGTGTTTTAATGTAGAGAGATTGTTTCTATGAATTCTTAGCAAAGGCTAAATATGTGTTCAAATGAGAAAATCATAGGCATTTTCTGAGCATTCACCACTACACCCAAGAAGTAGAAGAGTTAGTTTTTGCTCAGGAGTAGCTTAAAGTCAACCCTAAAGAACAGTAATACCACTCTTAATCCAAGACTTGATGTTCAGCAACCCCATGCCTTTACCCTATGCACCCGGAAACACCATCTTAAATGAGATCTAAACATGCTACCACAGTAGTGTCCTAACTGATCTCCCTGCACCCCTCCTGGACTTCATATAGCCAATCCACAGAGCAGCAGAGGGCTCTATATAATCCAAAATAAATCATATGATCTCAGAATCCACTGATGGCTTCCTACCTCACACAAAATGGGACCCAAAGTCCTCCTTCTACCTGCAAAGCCCGTCATGGTTTGAGCCCCGTTATCTTCCTGATCACTTCTCTTCCTGCTTCCCTCCTTTGCTCGCCCCCTTCCAGCCATACTACCCTCCTCAAACACACCAAGCATGCTCTCACTTCAGAACATCTGGACTGCTACTTTCTCTCTCTGGAATGCTCTTGTCCTATGTACTCATCTGGCTTGCTCCTTTACTTTATTTAGGTTTCTGCTCAAATGTCCCCTAATCAGAGAAAGCTTCCTTGACCATTCTTTTTAAATAGTCACCCAATCCTGCTATTCTCCATCTCCCTAATCTGCTTTATTTTTCTTCACAGAGCCTTCAAGACTTCATAAAGGAAGGTTAATGTGATGAGGTCCAGTCCTCACTGCTACAACTGATCCCAATGCCATAATTAGCATTTGTCACCTTCATCTTCCACCCCATTCTAGTTTTGTCTCACCCTTTACCAACGCCTCAGCTGGTCTAGGGTGCCTCCCAGCAACCTAGGAGTCATCTAAGAGTGACTCAGACCTTCACCCACAAGGGGACTGGGTTGCGTTAGCCCCTGTGGGCTGAGGTTGCTGCGGTTGCCGATTTACAGTTATCAGTGGGCACTGGAGTTACCACCAAGAGATGCCCCATGGAATCCCTGGGTCCTAAACGTACTCCTTTCTGCCCTATCACCTCCACTGTTTAATAGCAACCGTATTTCCTTATAGGAATCGGGGTCAATTGCTTAATAAACATTTCACAAGTGGATCATTGAGAATGATGGTGAAAAGAACCAATCTTATTTCCACCAGTTGATTCCTGGACCCATATATTATAGCTAGTAGAGAATCAGCACTGTTTGTTCTGTGCATATACTGCATGTTGGAGGATACAGTTCAACCTCATAGGGTATTATGCCCAAGCTAGCACCTTAACTAGGCTGTTCCATTATTCTACTAGGCTGGCTGCCTCTGGGTGAAGAAGTACATTGTAAGACCAATCAATCCCATGATCATGTGCCCATTGTCACAACCCTCTTACCATCAAATGAATCCCTTAGTCTGAGGCATAGTTGCGTGGAATCCCATTTCAGTAAAGAACACATTCCACAAGTCCTCAGGTATCAGTGTCAGCAACAGCACTGATGTCAGGGAAGGCAAAACCGTATCCAACTAGGTGTCAGTTCTAATAATGGAATTAGGTGTGATGTCATCAACTTGCTGCCAAGTGCCTGGCTAGTATCTCTGAGAATGGTGCCTTATCTATGCCAGCCTGTCCTCTGGCAAGAAAAATATTCAGCAATGACAGGAGCTATATCAGCCCTGGTGAGAAGGACTTGATACTGTTGTGTCCATGCCTAGTCTCTACTCCTGTCACTAGGACCATGCCATTAATGAGCCAATTGCAAAAGTACTGGAATGGCAAAGGAGAGACACTGACATCCAGAAGACAAGTCATCCTGTCTACTTGGTTGTTGATGCTCTATTGATTCACTATGGTGGATGCTCATGAGCATTAACATAGGATTTAAAAAATCCTCACCCTTTATGCCTATCCTCATAGGTCCATCCATATGCCTTGGCCCCGTACTTCCTTATAGAAAAAGCCAATAAAAGCGGACATTAGAAAGCTGGTCATTATTGTAGGCCTCTGAAAGTGACTCAGAGTTTTCTGCCCAAGGGCCAGAGAGGCAGCTCTACTCACCAGATCCTATCTTTATTAGTCAAGGGTTGCCCCAAGGAATGTTAATTCTCTCGAATGTCTAGGTTTGCATATGTATGAGTGCTGAGGAAATTCCAGCAGACATCTATTCAGGTTAGAAAAACTCAGGCTAGAGAGTGGAACAGATTCACAGTGCAGCTGAGACAAGATCTTTATCTGGTTATACCTGGGCATAGCTGCTTGCTGCAGCAAAAGTTGGAAAAAAAAAGGTGGGTTAAGAGGATATGAGGTGAAGCCTAAGAGGTGTCTGATATACCTTCAAAACCTGGGAAGGCAGGTATGACTGTGAGAAAGTGTTAAATTATGTATTTCAGCTAATTAGATAACAGGGTATTTTAAAATATATGCTAATTGTATGGTGCTCTCAAAGGCAAAAGTTGTTAGCGAAGGAAGAGATCAATTGGGCTAGAGTTGGCAGGAAAGGAGCTGGTGTCTTGAGCCATGGCTGGTGGGGAGCTGAGGACTCTGAGTAGAGTCCCTCCTTGTTAAGGAAGGTGAAATGATAATGCCCTGGAGAAGAGGTGGAGTCAAGGACAGGACAGATAGACTGCCTTCTATAAGACAGACTGCTGTCTTTGTTGTGATACAGTGTAGTACATGGCTAGATAAACATGCGTTGGAGTAAGACAGGTCTGTTTTGAATCCTGGCTCTACTGCTTGGGTAAGTTCCTTAACCTCCTCACACTTTAGTTTCCTCATTTGTCTAATGAAAACAGTGCCGACTTCATAGATTTATAATGAGGATTCAATTAATTAATTTACATAGAACACTTAAAATAGTGCCTGGTACATCATAAGCCCTAGTAAAGATGAGCTATTACTATTATTAGGGAAAGTACAAACAATGGCTTTTTAAAAGCGAAAGGAAACCTAACTAGAACAAAATTGTAAGAATAGGAAACACTAGGCAGTAAAGGGAAAACAGATAAATCATATTTTCATACAGCACAAAGTAAGTGACTGTAAGGAAAGTTCTACAAAAAGTATTCAGTTATGTCCTGCAAAAAGT